GTAAACAGCATTTGCAAATGAATCAATCAGTGTGTTATGATGTTGATCATATCTTAGAATGGCAAAAATTAATAGAGAAAAGTTGTTTTTATTTTCTTTTTCCTTTATTTGACTGTCTAAACTATCAAATTAGCATCATATATAGTTTTAACTAGGCTTTAACCTAACTTTGCCTACATGTGATGCTAATCATCACATAGTTTGGGCCATTCCAAATAGTTTGGTGGCAACTATAATTTAAATTTAATATAGACATCTATGTTAATACTTGTTTAATTTATTATAGACATCTATATTAATACTTGTTTAATTTATTATAGACTAACTATAATGACAAAGCGATCAATATTGGTCTTCAGGAACAGGAACCAGATATTCGTCAAATTCTTTTCAAATCACTTATTAGAAATCTTAATCAAGATGAAGTCTTAGAAGTATGGAATATCAGAGCTACTAGAAGAACAGGCATTGGAAACTATATAGTATTATTAAATGACAGTATAAATTTGTGTACATGTCTCTTATTATTAAACAAAGGATTGTTATGTTGTCATTTTTTTCGTGTTTCTACTTATTTCCAAGCAGCCACATTTCACATAGCTCTTATTCTGTCTAGGTGGTATCTGGAACCAAATATAGATCAAAGAAAACTTTTATAACAAACATCAACAATTAAAGTCTGTTGTACAGTCAGATCAGAAGGCGTTCAACCTAATATTATATTCGAGAACTTGTTTTCTATTCAACCAAGCTCTTATGATTTGCACTTAACAACAAAGCCTAAAAAAGCTATATATGCTGAACTATTTGGATTATCAAAAAAGACTATCGATTTAACTATCAAATCTGATATATCATGGAAGCTAGTAAATATTCTTAAATTATTTCTAAATAATATACAAGACAAAAATCAACAAACAAATAATGCTGACAATCAGATTGTTATAAATAATCCAAATATTGTTAAGCATAAGGGCCAGCCACCAAAAAAATTGAAGTTTAATATTGAGTATGGATCTTTTAAAAGTGGACGGATACTACAAAACAATATTAATACAACAAATACAATAAAAAATATAAGTGGCAGTGGTGATAATGATATGACGAGTGTTGTGAAGAGACGTATGTGTGGGAAGTGTAAACAATATAGGCATTATACTAAAACGTGTCAGGCATGAATTTAATATTAAAATACTTAGTATTAGAATGATTTTTTTTAAGTAGATTGTGCTGAATTGCATGTATTATAACTTAGTTGAAGTTTAATAAACACTATAATGGCAATGAGCTTTGTTTCATTAATTGGTTTTATAAATTAATTTTATATATTACATACATGTCATATGATTGAACTATTTTAATTGCTATCTATAATAGAGATGTGATCCATTAATCAGCAATCTGAATACTTGTTCAAAATCTGTATTTTTATAGATCTATATGATCTGTATAATTTTTGTATATTGCGAACTACTGTATAGTTAACTACAATTAACCGCAAACAAACTACAGTTAACTCTGCAAAAGATTAATCAATCTGTATAGATACAGATTATATTTGTACAATCTGTATTATAAGGATTTGAATAGTTCATATTACTAATTTAGAAGTTTATACTGTGACAAGAAAAACATGTTCAATTTGGATGAGTATATATAGTTCTTTTAATTTGTTTTATGTTCAAATATTAACTTTATGCTGTAATTCTGTTCTAAGTGTTATCATTACAGATAGGCTTTTTTTTGGTGATGCATACAATAATAATGATATACAAGTTTATTCTTGTTATAATGAACTTATCATTATATTAAGAATTTAATTAATCTTCACTATAGCGAGAGTGACTTGCATCAAACCCAACAACTAAATGAACAAAAATATGTTACT